CCCCCTTACAAACTCAGTACGAAAATACCGGCCGACTTTACCAGCTCGATTGTTGACTCACTAGTAGCACAAATTATTTAAAAATCTTCTTCTTTCGCTTTTCTAATATGAAGAAAGAAGTACTTACCCCCAAAGGAGTTCATGCTTCAGCTTTTGCTGGCTGAAATATCCGGTGTAGAATGGAATTAGGGGGTTGATCCAGTATGCAAACTCCCGATGCCCTAAGCCCAGCATGTGCGAAGGTTCCGTTGATGTCTCTAACAAGTAGGTGACCAACGGAGGGCATTCCTAGAAATAGTTCTCATCAAACAGTTCGTGAAATAGACTGAACAATGTGTTCGACACGGTTAAAATTAATAAAATTCTTACCTTGAAACTAGGAAGTGGGGCAGAGGGACCTGTGATGTAGGTGGCAGGTTGGAAGGCGTTGGAGCGGGGACAGTCAATAGGTTGGAAGGACTTGTCGATGCACATGCGAACGTCGCCGAGCAATATTTCTTTGGTCTATATGACAGTGAATTCTTACTGAACCAAACAAAGCCTAGCTATGGCACTCACCTTCTTGTCAGTGAGGCAGTTAAGCTGCACGTGCATCCCATTCGAGAGTTCTTTCATCAAACCGTCTCGAATATCCTCTAGATGATATGGTTCGCTTCTAGGAATTATTCCGGCTCTTTTAAGAGCGCTTCCCACTGAATATTCAGTGTCAATAGCCATCGTTCTAAAACACATTGGCCGATGTGAACCATAGTCAAAGAACGCTAACATATTCATTCGGGTGCTTTCCCCAATACAGAATACACTCACAAAAAGTTCAAAACCCACGTGCGAAAATAGAGCAGCTCCGAAGAGAGATTTTTGTGGTTCTGCGAGCACGTTCCATGCTTCTCCCATTCGTGCTTCCAAAATGAGTGGGCCGTCTTAGCTGGATAAAGATTCGGCCACATTTTTCTAAACGAGCTCTTCTCTCAGAATTTGTATCTCTCTAAGATCTTAATCAATTCCAATTAATACGAACAGTAGACGTCCTTCGATAGATTTGATCAAATCGCTATCGAACTTCCGAGGCGAACCGTCACAGAATTGCGGATAAGATCCATTTTTGAAGTTGGGCCAGAGACCATGAATCGACCAGTCAGGCGTGTCTGTCGGGATTTCGCATGAATCGGGAACTAAAAAAGGCTATAAAAATTAGCAAGCAGAGAATCCATTCCTCACTATCAGTTTTTTGAGACTTATAACGATCTGGAAACGGAATAACCTCGAGGGAACGCAACTAGGTCGCCCTAAAGGGTGAGGTGACTCGCACACGGATTTTGGCGGCGATTATTTATATTGTCACTGCGTTTTTGCTCTCCTGAACTTTTGTCCTCAAGCGGTTTCAACATGACTGTAAAGTGAGCGTGATAGACTTATGCACTTCGCATCAAAACCCCGGTCATATAGATGTAGTTAAGTTTTTTCATTTTTCCCCGTATTCCGTGTCTCTTGGTCATTATACTTCTTAAAGATTCCAATGTCCAAATAGCGAGCGAATTCTATCAAATAGAGAAAATAGGAAAGATAGAATTGTTGGTGATTATCAAGTTTCCCAGGTGGGACCGCACATTGACTTTCCAGGTAGGATCGCAAACACACTGAGAAAGTTGAGTTGATCTATAATGTAACTCGAAGCGGCCACAAATTGTATCAAGTTATGGGTTTATAAGTGAAAACAAATGTGGGTTCTAGCAATTGATTGCTCAAAGACATGATTAACGTCATTCAGGAGGGAAAAACTAGATCCCACGAATTGTGCCATTCAGTGTCTCTAGCATTAGCATAATCTCAATAAAAATTTCGCACATCGAATAGCAGCTCTCATGCTTTCGCCAGAACTACTAGATTTTGACATGTAGACAGCTTTGAAGCAATTTAGGTTAACATTGAATTGATATCGTGGAAGTACTATTTTATAGGTATCGATATCGTAAGGTAAATATGTCAGAGAAATATCTTTGTAAAATTCAAAAAATTGTCAAGGTTTCCTCAAAGATGACAGAAATATGTAGTTGGGGTCACCTCACCCTCTCTCCTCTCTCCATCTTTATCTCGAAAAAAAAAATGTCGGCCAGAAAGGTTGTTGAGCATCAATACGGAAGTCTGCTATCCCTCTTTTACTGCGCCCTAGCGCTCAGTATGACTTATGCGCAATTTTTTATTAATAAACTGGATCTATAAATCTCTTTGACGAAAAGATTAGTCGATTTCTCGTATGTCATTGAGATGGAATGAATAATAGAAAAATATTTGACGCATTAATAATAGCCTTTATTGTTAGTAGCACATGATAGGCAATAAATGAGAAATGTAAGAGAAAAAGGTTAAAATCTCGTGGGGGTAAGGGGCCTGCACAATTTGTAATGCTTTCAGAGGGAAGGAAATTAATTCGCCAATGATCTGCAGTTCATATCACTGCGACTCCCTACTGCCTCATAAATCTTAACCGTAACAACACATTGAAGAGACGGATACAGGCAATTTGAAGAATATTTTTTTTGCACATTGTGATGAACGGAGCCGACAATTCAGATTTCATTGTTAAGGATTGCTCAAAATTCCGTTTTTTCTCGTCCTTGTACATGTTCTTAAGATCTTCCTTACAGGGATACTTTCTTTCTCAAGACCCAGAGGAGAGGGGATGAAAAAGCTTCGAGACATACGGTCAAACGCTAACCTTTTACAGATAGAAATGATACCGTAGAGCACCGCTCACCTGAATCGTCATCGGCACGGCACACTGCAGTTGGAAAAATCCTCGTCAACATCAAATAATCAAAATCGGAACCAATTTGACGATGCACTGAAATCACAAACTGATTTGGAGCAGGCATCGATGTAAACAGGAGTGAGTACCTGCTCTTTCAGCTGTGTTGGCATTCCCTGAGACATTCGGCGATGGCCAACTCAACGTTCGGATCGTGCCGACCATAATAGCGAGCTGTACAGCTTGGTTCAACATCCCCATTTTACCTTTTCTGGCTGGAACAAAGGCATAGTGAAGAAAAGTAGCTAGAAATCACAACTTTTTTACTGGGTACGCAACAATGGTAACATGGGAAACGGGAAAGAAGAAGGGTTTGGGAACTGTCATGGGATTCATAGCAAACTGCACCGGTTGTGGTAGTAGGACGCGCAGTTTATCGATCGTAGGCGGCAACCCACGAGACAACATGGCCCAGCTGATTTTTCAGCGACAAACTCCCACTCTCGCCGCACGAGACTGCTGCCTGGGAAAAGGTCAAGAAGCAACACATTAGTGTAAAAAGGGTTCCACGAGATCGGGTACATGAATCACTCGGCATTTGAACAAAACACCGGAAGGAGTCCTGTGATAGGAGAGTTTTAGATCAAACGGCTGGACTATCACCGTAGGAGGCCCTGCATAGCTATGAGCACAACAAACGTGAACACTTATTGCCATGCATTTGTCAGGGTCATTATCGGTGGGAAAAATATATTTATGCATGTCACATGGTACGGTGCCCAGTTGCTGTCGTCAACTACTTTCCATATTTCTACTTTTTCTTGGGCATTCATTTTCCTCCAGCGTCTATGACAAAGAAAGTTGCAAGACAAATGAGCTCCTGTTTATTATCAGCTCCAGAAATCCTTATGCTGAACTAATACATTGTTGCTAGGTTTTTCGCGAAATATTCCTTTCCTCATGAAGCACTGTTTCCGAGAGAAATAAGTCTTTTCCAAAGCTCAAACCATAATTAAGAAGTGCTTCACCCTGATTCTTTATTAATGGCACATTTCACGATAAAAATGGTTTCTGAGATTTCCTCATAGGATGAATTGGAAGTCCCCCTTCATACCGTATCTGGCGCTATCAGGTCGGAAAACGGCCTAGTTAGGGCGTTATGAAGGCTCAAAGATTGGCCGGTGTGAATGCGCGGACGAGTTTCGACGACATTGTAGAGATTACGCCATTCACAAGGGAGCCCATATAAGAAGTTCGAACAATTTGTCATGACCTATAGCGACAGCGGAAGGCAATTCTTGACAGTTTTGGCATGATATAGTCAGTTCTTTGAGCAACTGCGACAATTGAAATCTCGTCCAAATACCCCTTCAATGTTATTTCCGTTATGGTAATCTCGTCCAACCTCTATTTCCCTACTTCTAAAGCGGATCAGTTTTCTCGGAATCAGCGAATTTCCTCGTTTTCTTCACCAACGATGAACTATTACCAACCTATACTTCCGCTTATCGACTAAAAAGGGGTACCTCGGAATTATCGTGAATTGTGCTTTTAAAGGATAAAAGGATAAAGTCTCGTGGCGTTGATCAATCTCGTCTGAGGAATGCGCATCCACTCTTGACTTCCATTCAAGATCGTAGTGTCGCAATGAGTGCGTATGTAGCCTATACAATGACTTGTTCTGGCCAGCCCATTTACAAGCCTGTGTTTTTATTCTCTCGGACAAGTCTGGTGCCAATTAATCGACCCCAGAAGGAACGGGAATTCATGAACATCCGTGTGTGGTAGAGCGCCACTTGGAACTACACCACATCCGCCCCTTCAGATATATCAGGACTAAAACCCAAGGCCAATGAATTACCCCAATCCCTGAGAGTGACTTTTCAAATCTGAATTTCCATTTTTGTGCCATCGGAAAGCTAGCCCAAGGAATGTAGCAATGGAGAAAAAAATTTTTTTGCACCAATTTCATCCCCTCATAAAACCCTCATAGCGCTGAAACAAGAAATCCAACGTATACGTAGATCCCACCGAGGAATCTATGTACTGTTAAGTAGCACTTGTTCTTAAGAGCCAAGCTGTGTATTTCCGTCGGATGACTCGCTTATAGAAGGAAATGAATCATGATTAACTCAGAAATATATTCCTGATCGTGATATTTAGGGCTACGCAAAAGAAAAAGCATATATCTGCAGTCAGCCATAGAATTTCTGTAGAGCCCTCAATGAAGTAGAGGCTTACTAGACCTGGGCGAAATACAAACTTCTGGATTGAGGCTTTTCTTGACTTTCAGAAGATCCCGTGTAAAGCGATTTAGCTTCAGTGGGCGAGTTCAGTGGTCTGTTCATTCTAGGGATCTTTGCCCTGAACCAAATCATAACATAGAAAATAATGGAATTTTGAGATTTTTCGCAAAATTTTGAAATCACCCCATATTGTATATTACAGCCAGACAGACTGTCAGATTAATTGGACTTTTTTTATTACTCTTGCGGCACTATTTATTTAAATCTTCACTCTAAACATATTAGTAACTGTATAAAGGCGAGTAGGATATAGACCAATGACCAGTATGGATTGACTAGTACTCTCCATAGTTGAGAAGAGACCCACCCGCAGAATGTCACTTCTTAAATGATTCCTGTGGAGAACATTTACAAACCGACATGTTACCTGAAACAGAGGAACACTGACAAAAGGATCACTTGAGGTATTTTACGATTTTACGAATTTTTACTGGAGCATCTGTAGCTATAATAGAACCGCTGTTTCCCAAAAGGAAAACATTCATTTGAACAGGCGTTTCAAAAACGACCGAGCTCACTTGATTTGTTCTGGAGGAGCGGCTGCCGGCTGACGGCTCGCAAGCTAAGTAAACATGAAGAAAAGAAGTCATTCTCCAAATACTATTTCACTGATCGTGGTCTGGCTGACTCAAATGAAAAATTGTCATTGTTTACTGTAAAACTCCATTTACGGGATCGGCCATCCCTCGGATCGGCATTTCTTGAAAAAAAAAGAGAGATGGTGATGTGGTTGAAAAACTTTCACCATCAGAAATGAGGCAGCTCGAAATGGTGTAGAATAGGATGCTTTATATTGTGGCCTGCGAAGCCTTCACCGTGTCAGCCATTCAAGGGTTATCTATCCACCATTCAATCCAATCACACCATCTACAGCATCAGACTTCTCACAACTCCTACTACAATCTAACATATAGGCGACCTTAACATAAGACAAATTCAGTTTTTAGACAGTAACCAAATAAGGACGGGAGCCTTTTACAATGATCGCCCGCCAACACCTTTAGAAATATAAACAGTACGTCTTTCTTCAACGGTGTTCAAAAGGTACAGGGCCAGCCTGGAAAGGTCGCTACACGGTTGGAAAATTAGGAAAACTGCAGGAATTTCAAAGCATGAGGAAGGCTAAGCATCAGAATTTAACCAGATTACGCGGAACCATGCAGTGCACCGCGCCCGATGTCTAAACATTGGGCACACCCCTAGGAGGTAGATTCAAGGCACGTAAGAGTGATCAACAACCTTTTTCGGGACTGAACGAAAATCGCGCAATCTGCTCAACTCATTGTTCTCTGAAATCGAGAAAGACATTCTAAAACTAGTTCTTCATTGTAGCAAACTGACTGTAAGTTAAAGGTACAGTTCACGATGATTTGAGGTATAAGTAGAAGCGTTGTATAAACAATGCGAACACGGTAGCAAAGATGATAAACTTCTAAAATATTACCCTGGCAATCAAAACATGAGTGAACAAAGGCCTGCAAGCAGTCTTCCGCAGCAAAACCGCCAATAAATTGAGGACACCCGATTCATACCATCACCTTCTACTAGCCATGACAAGGGAAAAACGCGAGTGTGGCCCACCCACTATGAGTTGCTAAGCGCAGAGTAGATAGCCATAGCTGTCGCTCAACCCTATGAACCCCAGTATTTGGCCAACGCGGTAACAGAAAAACGTCCAAAACCATATTTTTGGCCACTACAGAAGGACAGCGCACCTCGAAAATTCGATTTAGACATCCTTCAAAAAATCCGCTTGGTTTCAGGTTGTTTGCCGTTCATACTCCCGAGGCGTTACCTCTTTTGATTACCATGAGACCTGCCTTCTCAAGCATCAACTTGTGGAGAAAAAGTTGGTAAATTCCTATAATCTGGTATTCTTAATTCTTATAATTCTCATAACGGCAGTCACTGATTTCTTTGAGGCACAGCTTTTTGAATTTGAGACAAAAGGCATGAGTGATTCGCTCAAACGATGAGAGAAGGTTGTTGATCAGTTTGGTGAATATATTTCCAAAATTTTATTGATCTGGAAAATTTCAGAAATGCAAAAGGGCTTCTATTTTGTCGCAGGACTTTTCTTGCCAACCTTATATAACGTCAAACATGACTGGAGTAGGTTGAAAACTTGGACTGATACGTTGAATACATTCTTCGCCCACGCATACTTCGTGGCAACACTGGACGATTGAGTTGAATCGAATGCTCATTTGTGGTGACTGAGGTGATTTCTAGAAATCATTTTTGAACGTTTGGCAATGTGGTGCTGATGACCTAGTCTCCAGAGTAACTTTCTTTCAAGTCTTCACTAGACTTATTATCTAAATTCCATAAGACTTTCTTAACGAAACTTGCTACCAAGACGATAAATAGGCTCTTATCGAGTTACGTTTTGGCGTTATCGCCTTCTTCACAGTCTGGAAACCTGAAGATCATCGCTATCCATCTCTCATTCAACAAATATACTTCAAAAAACCGATAGCGATGATCTTTAGGTTCCCAGACTCTGAAGAAGGCGATAACGCCGAAACGAAGTTGATAAGGGCCTATTCATCATCTTGGTAGCAGGATTCATAAAAAAAAGTCGCATAAAACTAATTCAAGACAATGCCAAGATTCATTGAGAGTCGAACATGGTTACTTAGCTAAATTGCCTTTTCATAATTTGTTTCATGGATGAATCGAGTAGATAAGCTGAACGGATCTCCTAAAAGGACACCCATGCAATCATGTCTGCTCTCGTAACATTCGAGTGCCGAGAGGAAAACATCGGAGCGCACATAATGTGAGAATATTGTCATTACAAGTGACACAGAACAAGTGGAATTATTCGTTTCGACCCAAATTTGAAGGACCCGAGTTCAAGCAGTCCGTAGACCGAAAATCTCACAAGGTTGGCGAGTAGGAAACAAAACTTCGGCCTCGGACTGGGCACAAATCCTTGTGCGTCCCGCGCACCGTGCTCTTTATCCTCTTTGAGTGCGATTATTTTAGAGAGTCTGAAGGGAACAACGCTTCCGTCGACGTCATATACTACCACAACAGGGACATTTTAAGCGATCGCATAAAACGGCATCTCACACTCAATAAAATTCCAAGATGATTTTTAAAAGCCCTCTAGTCGGCTAGCAGCGGCGACAAATAACAAATAAATGGGCCTCTATACTACAAGTAGGGCATGGGATATGGTATTCAACCATGAATATCTATCTTGATATATACCGGTGATCACGCATCCTCGTTCATGATGAGCGCAGAGGCAGCAACAAAAACACGTCGGGCAGCGGATTCTGAAGGCAGTGGCTTCCACCAACATTTTTAGGTCACCCTTTTTCTTTTTAATATTCTTTTCAAGGCAGTACATATCTACATTTGAGAAAATTCTCTCTCTGACATCGTGACGGGCCATGCATTTCACATACGTGCAGCATAACACAGAAATACCAATTACTATGAATTCGGCTCGCCTTTGAGATCCAAAAAATCTCACACTGAACCATGCTGTGCCGGTGATGATACAACTCAAACGATCTCACCACGAGAACTTTATGGTTTTAAAGACCCCAACCCAAAGAGACAACCTTTTTTATGAAGCCAGACGCTCACATCAAGAAAATAGCTGGCATCGACTAGCAAGAATTCTTCAAAAAACAGACCATCAATGTAATGACCAAAGCTCCGCACATCATAGGTCCCGGTCAGGTTTTGTCCAGGACTCTTAGTTGCCTCGATTCTGGACAAACTTCATGCAACTCTATTTATCTGAAAGGAGCCTTAAATGTCCGAGCCCTAATTCAATACGCCAAACATCACCCATTGAAATCCGAAAGATTCTTCGGCTGAATGTCGCAAACTCTGTAACGGGTTCCAAACCCACATCGTGAAACAGACATCATCTCACAAGATACATTTATTCGGATTCATATAATAAATATGCTGAATGAAACGTCACAAAAACTAAATTAAGTCGTTTCCAGTAGGAACTGAATTTCTAAGTGGAATGAACTCGGATGGACTGAGGGCGTGAAGAACAACAGCGTAGAGGGGAGGGAACGGGAATGAGCAATAACGCGAGCGCACTGAATGGAGAGCTGAGTTGTATGTACAGGGGATGTGAGGCTCGTCACTCGCGTACTGCACACTAAATGAATCACTTAGAACGACTCAGAGCATCGTCAATATTAGGGGCAGGGAAAATCGATTGGAGCACGGTTCAAACGATTCAGCGGAAGTCACCAGTAGGTAGCAATAACTATGTAGAAAGCCAGGGATGGCAGCCTGTGAGATGAAGCCGAAAGGATGATCATCACACAAACACTGAGGACTGAGGAGCTATTGGAACGGCAGTAGAGATAGGCCACATACAACAAAGAAACATATTTCCACATAGGCCTTTGTTGCCGCCAGACGGCAACAACTACTGATTACTTCTTCTCCAAAAGGAGTTAAAGCAACTATCAGCTCCTATAAACAAAGCGCAGATGGAGTTACATGAACAGTTTAGAGACGATTAATACTCAAACTCACTAAAACACACACACATACTTGTTAGCAGAGAATGGACGGCACACAAAGAGCACCGCGATAAACACCAATGCGTCAAAATGCAGAATAATCAGGCGAAAGCGTGCATACTGAAGAGAAGTGCTCTGCTTGGACATCTATCGACGAGCCAGTTCACTTCGAAATGCCTCGATAATGTCCTCCTTCGCTTTGTTAATTTCTAAACGCACCTCAACCATGAGGTCGGCCTTGAACCTGGAAATAATGATAAATTCCAATTGAAGTTAGGCTGTTATGCGCACATTCTGTTTGAACCCCATACTGTACTACACATTTGGCACTTAATAACAACTCCTAGCCTCCCTCTATTCATATACATACATATGCATACATACAGTAGCGCTCAAAAGTCTACGGTGAAATGCTTCTTCAGTCATACTTTCCAGTCGTAACTCCTTTCTTACTGGATCTAATCACACGAAATTTCGATATGTGTAGCATAGGCGTATTGTGAATATTTACCACTATTAAACTGCAATCTGATCATGTTCCATATATCCCAAAGGGCTTGAACGAAAAATCAACTGGAAATACGATTGATAGCCCTTCTGGAATTTCTTTCTTTTTTGCCATGTCTAAAGTGTACGAGCGAATGCCGAATACAATAGACGAGAAAAACGCACATAAGGTGCGAATAACTGCAGACGTCACTAACTTCGCCTTTAGCGAAATCTGCTGTCGCATAGACATTGAATTATGTGGATATTGCTGCTTTACAATCATATAGTGCTGGATAGTGTGAAATATGCCTTAGTTAAACATATCAAAATCGCGCGATTTTCTCCAATAAGAAAGAAATTATGAACGAAAAAGCGTGAAAGCGTTTGACGGAAGAGCGCGAAAGCGTTTGACCGAAGACTTTTGAGCGCTACTGTATGTATCCATAAATCATTACTAACTTTATGGGTGTCTTTGCCTGTAGGTTGTTCTGTCTGTCAGTCCAAAATAACTGGACGCAATGAAGAGTGCGAAATGTTGCGAAGGCGCGGCGAGGAAAGTGACATAAAGTAGCAAGCCTTCTTCTACTTTTTCTCGATCATCTAATCAAAACGGAACAAATTACGACGCCATTTACCGGGAATCATAGCTTCTTATCAAGCGCAGAAGGACTCAATCTGGTTCTTTTCAATCACATGGCGGTCAGATCCATTGATATTAGAATTGGAGCTAGGTTGGGAACACATCCACATTAACATCGATTGTTGGCGATAGTTCATATCAATCGATACTAGTTTGTGATGCCAACAAATGGGGAGCCTGCCTCTCTTCAGCCCTATCTGGTATGACATAAACCAGTATCCTCACAGATCTGACCGCCCGCCTGCAAAACTGGCAGTGATTATGGTTAGGGTAGTATGTGATGATCGAACACAAACAGGAAGCCACCAACAATTTCAGTATGTGAGTAAAAACTCCTCGAGGAATAGAGAAAAGTATAAACACTCGGTGTTGAAGAAACTCCTTCCCCCGTGTTTGCTCGAAGAAGAATGTTGTCTATGTATAAGTAGTCCATGATATCCCGAGCAATATCATGTTTTTGCGGTTGAGATAGGCTAGGATAAACATGTTAAGAATGCTTGTTAAGAACCATGTTTAGATATATGCCCCTGCTTTCGACTTTCACTCAGAATCGTAGCAAGCTACGTTCTCTTTAGGGGATAGACTTAGAGACCCCGAAGTTTGGTTACAGTCTACACCAATGTGAAAATAAAAAAAAAGCTAAAGAGAGATCTGCAGGACTTGTAAAACCAAAATAGTTAGATCCCAAACCATTTTCAGTTGTTCCTCAAGGTCGAAAATAAGAACAAATAATATACTCGCAATTTGGAAAAAGGAGCTAATTAACTGTAAGCTCAAACAATGTTGGAACCCATACAACTTTCTCACATCACGTCATTTGTTTTTTGGAAAGAAATTTTAATGTCTCAAATGAATACGAACCTTTCGAGAAATTCTGGAGTTATAACTGATCCAGCTACTGACGTCCCATTTACTTTCAATTCTTCCTGCGAGGAGATAGAGGATCCCGACGGAACTCTGAACACAATTGGATTTAACGGAAATCCATACCTACTTCAAAGTCTCAGTAGAAGCTACTCAAGCCAATTAAATCTGCAAGACCCACTTTCTATGAGTTTTGGGGCTATCCATATTACCATTCGTTTTTACAGTTTCCCATTTACGAGGTACATTACCCACGGCTGGTGCAGCAAACCCATTAACGGGTGGAATTGTACCGCATCCACTATCTGATGAACCTGAAAAATAACGAAATCCGCTTGTCCTGCATTTTCAATTGCGAGTGGTAACCATAACTCACCGTTGCTGGCATTCGATTTTGAATCAGCCGCATCCGCTTTTGCCTGAGTAATTTTTTTCCTGTTGAATGTAGCAGCGAGTTCAGAGAGCAAATCTCCATGCGAAGACCCTGCCACTAAAGCATGTTCTCCATCTGACTTTTGCAAATCAATGCAAAACCTAGACTTATTAGTATTACCATTGGAACCAGAGACCGAAGAAGGATCTGCGATGGAAACTGAACGGATTTCCTTCGCTGCACTCGTCTTCTTCAGCTGTGCTCCTCGGAGCTGGTCGACCAAACTGAAATGAATGACTTTAACACCATATAGGGCTAACAAATAAACAATGGGACTTAGTACCTTGTTCCTCGAGATGCATCGCTCTTCAAAAGATTAGGTGGAGGAGGAGGCGGCGGTGGAGGCGCAGCATTTGCAGGTGGTGGTGGAGGCGCAGCAGGAGGGCAGTTTGACGTAGGGATAGGAACTTGCGGAACGGAAGGAGCTGGAGGAGGGCCAGGAGCAGTGCGAGAGGGGCTTGCCGTTTGTTGCTGAAGATGGAATGATCGAAACTACAACCACAATGGGCATTTAGTAAAACAAAGTAGAGCTCGACAAAATATTATGCCGATATGTCAGCTAAAAGACCGACTACACAGGATTCACTGACCTGAGAGTACATGTTGCACGGCCCATTCGATGAGGAACTTGAACCCTGGGATGATCGTCTCTGCTGCTGCTGACTGAGCGTGGCATTCGATTGCACACAATGAGATGTTTTCCTGCAAGGAAACAGCCTACGTGACCACTCTTGAGAAACTGTAACGTCTGACTGAAGATGTTTTTGATATTTTTTGTATTCTCATGATTCACCTAGCACGACTGATGTTCAAGTTCCGTCCGAGGTCGAAATTTTGGCAAAAAAAGAGTGACAATTTTTGCATGCCAAGTTGAGGCAAAAAGTAAACAAACAATCGAACAAAAAGAAGTCGAATCAAGAAGCGGTCAAAATTCATAATAAAGGAGATGTTCCTCAAGTGGTGCTTCTTCAAATACGAAAAACATTTCTCAAAATAATATCGATATGAAATATAATAGAAACGGAAAGGCTCCTGATAAACTATGCTCTAACGCTCGACTTTTGTAAAATTTAGCAAAGATCTTTGTTGGTTACACTACGGACATGCCGTTGTGTAAGCCAAGACTAGCTACTGTAAAACTGATAAATTTGCTCTGAATAACTGTTGTTTCTGATGTAGAGCTGACAACAAGGAACACGGCAATATGCTTTCTATATAAATAGTCTGAAAAGAGGATGAATCCGAAAACGGGACAGTTTCTTTA